TCCTTCCTTCCTTCCTTCCTTCCTTCCTTCCTTCCTTCCTTCCTTCCCATTAAATATTGTCATTTAATAATGATTTTTACCATGGACATATCATCCTACAGCCACAATAACAAAGCCCATCCCAGAGTCTCCCTCCTTGGAAAGATCACCCAGCATACAGCAGGACTTATCAAAACAGAGGCCTAACCAACCTTCTACTGCTCAAGTAAGACCTAACAATAAATTCACATATTTCTGCTGACACATCTAGATATATTTTTACAGTTTAAATATGAAGACAAATCTGTTCCAAACAAAGAGGAAGCATAAACTTTATGTGAAATGTTCATTTTTAATTGAATTTGGAAGAATATGACATTACAAATTTTATTCACACTGGCAAGAAGTAACTTCTCGGAGCGTGCTCTGCCCTATAAACCAAATCATTTTGCACATATAGAAGTTTCTCTGCCATTGGTTCCCCCAGTGCTAGGAGAAAAGGAACATCTGGACATCAAGGTCTGTCCGCTGCTACTGTTGCCACCCTATAGTGGAACACAAAGTGAACAATTAGAAAAGTTAACGAGTGCAGTAATAATGACAAAAGCCCTTGGGCCCTTTTTAATTCTTAATGCATAATGAAGTCCAAATTATATTACTTTTTATAAAAGTGTTTTATTTTATGGGGGTGGCCAAGTAATTTAGTGGCCTAAAAGGAACCAAGGGCCTAGCTCTACTTTAGAGAAAAAGGGCCAAAGCTTACTTGTCCTTATTTCCATATTAAAGATTCTTTCATGAAGAAGAAAGGTTTCCCTATCTGATAAAATCATCCAAAAGCTGAAATGTATCTTCATTTAAGACATTGTACAGATAGTCCTCGACTTACAACCACAATTGGGATCGTAACTTTTGTCACTAAGTGATGCTGTCATTAAGTGAGTCACGCTCAATTTTATGACCTTTTTTGCCATGGTCATTAGCGAAGCCAGCTTCCCCCATTGACTTTGCATGTTGGAAGTCCTCTGGGAATATCACAAATGGCGATCACATGGGATGCTGCAGCCATTGTAAATACATGCTGGTTGCCAAGTGCCCAAATTTTGATCACATGACTGTTGGGACACTGTGATGGTCGTAAGTGCAGGAACTGGTCCTAAGTCACTTTTTTCAGCACTGTTGTAACTTCAAACGGTTGTTAAATGAATGGTCATAAGTCACGGACTACCTGTAATACCATAACTAATTACATAACAAGATATTTCAGGGGAAAATCTCTTAAGAAACCAAGCTGTACTGAAAATGTCTGCATTTGATTATAAAAGAGAAAGATTCATTGGTGCCTTATGAGTAAAGTCTGTACATTAAAGTATACTGCTTCCCTGAAAGAAGTAATCCTCATTTAGTGACCACAATTGTGACTAGCAACTCGGCCATTAAGTTAAGTGGTTGCTAAGTGAAACTGCGACTGTGCTTATGATCTTACTTCAGCTTTCCTTTGTTTATAGACCTGCAAATGCGAGGATTGCAAAGCTACTTTTTCATCACCATTGTAACTGCGAATGGTCATTGTACGAGGCAGTTGTTAAACAAGGACTACCTGTACTGTGCATATGAGTTATCTAGGACAGTTACCCCAGGGGTCTCAAACTGAAATCACTACAAGTGCTATATGAAGGGTGGCTTGAGGGCTCTAACATATGGGAAGCTCCCATACATTGATATAAATATGTCTAGCAGTCAAAACTAAAGAAAATTAGTAGCATCACAACATGCCCTACCAAATATCAAGTTATCAAAGAAAAAAAAAATCCACTGCAAAACAGACCCAACTCTCCTTGCCAGCAGTAGCAAGTTGAGTGGCCCTGGCCCAGCAGTGTCCCAATGTAGACCCAGGAATGCTGAAATGCCCTGCTCTGCTCTGCTCTGCTCTGCTCTGCTCTGTCCATGTATGGAGCCATTCCCCTGCTCCAAAGCCGTAACAAGGCGGAACCAGGCCACACCTTGGCCTGGCTCCAATAACATGCTGAGGCAGGAATGGGTTTGGAGCCTAGCTCTCCTTCTAGCCCAAGGCAGAACACACTCCCTTCTACCATTCTGGCCCATTCCTTCCCCTCAAGCACCGCTGTCTGTCCCAGAAAATGACCTGGGTGGGGCTGCATGTTTGAGACCCTCAGCTTTCTAATATTGACCAACCTGAGTAGAAAAAGACTCAGTAATCTTTATTTCTTGTTTAAGCTCTCTGCCCAGTTTACTATGTTCCAAACCATCAAAACCCAACTCGAGCAGCGGACACGTATACTGCAAGCCAACATTCAGTGGCAGCAGGAAGAGCTGCAGAAAATCCAAGAACAGCTTTGCATGGTACAAGATTCTAGTATGCAGGTTAGCAGAATACCACAAAGTACATATTATTTAAACAAATTATTTTAATCCAGCAAGTGGCAATTACTAAATGGAAAAGAGCTGCCATCACCTTGATGTGTATTAAGCTCCTGCTTTGACAAGTATTTTATTTATTACTTTATTACTGAGCTTCCTCAGGATGTATCTGAGGAACTAGCCCTTCGTGGCATAGGACCAGATTATCTGAGGAGCCGTCTTGCCCTGGTTACTTCAGCCCGCCCCACTTGGTCCAGCAGAAGGGGCATGTGCAGACCCCACCGGTCAAGGAATTTTGCCTGGTGGGGTCTAGGCAGAGGGCCTTTTCTGCTGTGGCCCCCACCCTATGGAACAATCTGCCTCCCAAGGTCCGGTGTGCCCCCA